CTGTCAGACTGTTCTCCAGCCCCCCCCCCAGCCTGGCTGCCCTTCTCTGGACACGCTCCAGCCCCTCCATGTCCTGCATGGAGTGAGGGGCCCAAAGCTGAGCACAGCACTCGAGGTGCGGCCTCACCAGCGCCGAGTACAGGGACATGATCCATGCCCTGCTCCTGCTGGCCTCACCATTCCTGATCCAAGCCAGGATGCCGTTGGCCTTCTTGGCCACTTGGGCACACTGCTGGCTCCTGTTCAGCCAGCTTCCGACCAACACCCCTGGGTCCTTTTCCACCGGGCAGCTTTCCAGCCACTAACACAAGTGTCGCTGTATTACACCTATAGACTGACACTGAACTTATAAAACTGTTTCTAAGCTTTCCTGGAGTTACATTTGATAACACTGAATTTTTACAGGCATGGGGCTCTCTCTGCTCTTGAGTTAAAAATCTCTCCTGGTAGCCCTGAAGGCTTTTGTCTTCAGGGATGAAAGAAATCTTACAATCTGATGCCTAACCGCTTACTTTTCCTACTTCGCAATAAGGAAGTGCTCGTATAATTCCAGCTGATGAGCAGTTTGTGCTCTTAGCCTGTGGGCTGTTAAGAAGGAGGTAGAATTGTTCTTTATTGCGTGGTCATGGATGACAGCCCAAGGTCAGAACTGTTGAGCAGGGGGATGCCAGTCTGCTGCGTGCCGAGCTGCAATGGGAATTCTTCACGGGTAGCAGCTCCCACTTGGTGGGAGGTTACTGGGTCACCTGTGCTGTTTGGTTACTCTAGAAAGGCAGTTCTTCTTTGAAACACTGATACTTGTAGTTCTTCAGGCTTGTTTCTGATATTGATGATAATTAAATATGGATGTTCCAGCCCTTATGACGGAAGATGGAGCAAAACGATGGTGGGCTACGGGCCGGAAGACAATCACTTTGTTGCAGAATTGACTTACAATTACGGTATCGGAGAATATCGCCTGGGCAATGACTTCCTGGTGAGTACCACACTCAGCAGCAAAATCTTTCTTATTAAGTTTTTTTTATTATTATGATTAGGAGTCTATCTGGCATATAGGTTGTACCAGTTGCTTTTTTATGCTGTTTGGTTCCTTAAACGCTTTTTATTCTTGCTTTTGTAGTTGTCTCCAAGTTGGATGAGCAGAAACTAGAGCAGCTTTGTGCTCACGTAGGATCCAGGAAACGCTTCCTTGAGCACCTTCCCGCTCAGTTGCGCTGCGTGTAGGATAGCTGATATTGGCTGTCAGATATAGCCTGGAACGATGAGCTAAGAAGGATCTTGCTAGAGGATAACACTCTTTTATCTATTATTACTTAATTCTTTGTTATTTATTAGCTGACAGCCAATTAAGTTTTCACATTTCCTCTACGAATACGTGTAATGTGTTTGCTCGTTGTTTGCCCTGAGCTAATGTTCTCCCCCTGGTTTGTGGGGGGTCAGGGAACAGCCGCTTGCAGCCACAGATGTCTGCCTAACCTGGCAGAACACTTAGGAACTTGGTTTTCCTTTTCTGTACAACGCGTTGAATCAGAGATTTAAATTCCTTTGGCTTTTCGTTTCCCTTTGGTGTGAAAGAAGGGTAGATTAATGTGTTCCCGATATATGTGGGATGCGCAGTAAGACTAAGCTTATTTTATAGGAGCGAGATACCTGGTTTTCAGGAGATCATATGGTCTCATGGGTTATAAAAAGTAATTTCGTTTGCCTCTGGCAGAGGCAGACCCCTGAAAGGTAGGACTTACACGCCACCCGCCCTGTGAATTTTGTGTGCGTCTGCTCTGTTCTCACTAGGGCATAACGCTTGTGTCCAGCCGGGCTGTGAGCAATGCGAAGAAGATGGGGTGGCCCCTCAAAGAAGTCACAACTGGTATTTTTGAAGCTGAAGCCCCAGGGGGGTACAAGTTCTACTTGGAAGACAAGGAACAGCTCAAGCAAGGTGCAACACACACGCTCGCTCTTGCTGGCGTTCAGGAGGGATTTACAAGTGGGAGGTTAGAACGGGCTGAGCGCTTGTCTGGATGCCATTTTATGAAACAGAGCGTGTTTTTGTTATTTCTTTGTTACTTTCCTTCTCAAGAAGGTATAACTGTGCGTTTCAAACTACAATATATTTGTAACTAATTTCAAATCACTGCAATTTTATAGATCCTGTGCTAAAGGTTACCTTGGGTGTCTCCGATCTGCAGAAGTCTGTTAACTACTGGTCTGACTTGCTCGGGATGAAGCTATATGAGAAGGATGAGGAAAAACAAAGGGCTTTGCTAGGCTATGCGGATAACCAGGTTAGTCCTCACAAAACTTTCCAGTTCCCATCTTTAAGAGTTGCATCTCCTCGTAGAAACCTCTCATTTCATGAGAATAAAATCTTAAAGGGAAAAAAAGCTCATAATTAAAGCAACTGTGTGCTTAATTTTTTGTGCCTTTTAATTAAGGATTGCATACACTTAACTGCTTTGTTTAAAAAACAGCTGTGGTTTGCTCTGGTAGTTCTGGCTTGGTGGGAGGTGTGTGTATGGGTGATCTTGAAATCGTCCACATCACTGAAAAACTGGAGCGAATGTAGCAGTGAGAGCAGCGTCCTTGCAAGTCAGGCTTTCTGTTTTGCTCTTTGAGTGTAAGTTGGAGTTGAAGACTGTTGGAGGAGCGGTGGATCACGGGACAGCGTTTGGGCGGATTGCGTTCTCCTGCGCAAAGGAAGAGGTAACGATCGCGTTTCCCTTAGCCCTTTCGTTACCCAGAGCCGACTAGTGGGAGATTAATATCTAGCATTAGCAAAATACCCACGGTGTGAACAAAATAATACTGAGCTGATACTTCATTTGTATTTCTCATGGTGGGAATGCGATGGAGTTGTGGGTAGTAGGGAAGCGGTAAATGAGAACAACCTGAATGCATCTGATCTTCATCTGGCTAGGGTTGATTTTTGTTGATTTTCTGTTTAAGTTGCCAAACATTGAAGCACTGATGAAAAAGGAGAACCAGAAAATTTTGACGCCTCTGGTTAGCTTGGACACACCTGGCAAAGCCACAGTGCAAGTGATTATTTTGGCTGATCCTGTGAGTAATATTGGAAATAGCAATTAAATTCGATTTAAATTTCTCTCTGCCATTTATCTGACTTACCTGCTCTTAAACTTGGTGTAGGATGGCCATGAAATCTGTTTTGTGGGAGACGAAGCATTCAGAGATCTGTCCAAGGTGGATCCTAATGGTGACAAACTGTTAGACGATGTAAGTACTGCTGTCTGCACAGTGGTTTGCTTCCTGATCAGAGACACCCGTAGAATCTGATTTTCATTACACGTGGAGTTTTCTGAGAAGCAAGCCGTACAGCCTCTGAGCTGCGGTTGTTTTCTTGCTAAGAAAACCACAGTTTTTTAGAATTCACTTAGCGTCCTGGCTGGAGTTTTCGGGCCCCGCTCTGGGGGCAGCCGGCTGGTGGAGTGTCTTGCGGCACACGCCAGCAGTGCTTTGGTGTGAGTTACTACAGAAGCCGATCCGTGAGCTGCAGTGACGTCAGCGCAGCTGGACGTCCTCCCGAGGCAGAGGGGCTCTGGTGCGGAGTGTGAGCTCTCTGGGAAGGCCGTGGTTCAATAGCCTCGTTCGCTCTTGTACTACCAGATCTGCTATTTAGGTGCTGCAGCAGAGAGCACTGGTTTTCAGGGTCTGTTTTCCTTACTAGCGTGTCAAAATTAATTTATCCATCAGAATAGCTTTCCTCCAAATTAGAAAGCTGCCCTGTGATCAGCGTGGGTTTGTGGGGTGGGCTGGCGAGCGTGAGCAGCGCCTGGCGACTCGGCTGGTGTTCTCAACGTGCCCACGCTCTTCTTCGTGCAGGCCATGGCAGCGGACAACAGCGACGGATGGTTTGCTGCGCAGAACATGAAGAAGGCGTCTGCTTAGCTGGGGAGAAGGACGGGGCTGCTCCTTCGTGCCTCAGTTTTCGTCTGAGCAAAATGCCAATCATCTGTAACGTGTTGCATGACCCCTGCCAGTAAGAGGGGGCCGTGATGTCCCGTGCTGGCCTGTTTGTTTGATTTACTCTTGTGTCTCTTGGTTTTCATCCGAGCGAAATGCCAATCCTCTGTAACGTGTTGCATGACCTCTGCCAGTAAGAGCGGCCCGTGCTAGTCTGTTTGTTTGATTTACTCTTGTGTCTCTTACTGCTGCTCTCTCTTCTCAGGCGAATAGCGTGTTATCCTTCCAAAAAATCAGGCTGTGCAGTGGGGAGCAGGTTGAGCATGTGGCTTCAAAAACAGGTCCTCTGTTAAGAGGAAAACCTCACACTTCTGTGTTGATATTATTATCCATGAAAAAGAGATTGCTAGATTCATTACAACATCTAATTCTCTAACTAATTGGCTTTCGCCATCCTGGATTTGCAGCGTGGAGCAGAGACTTTCAGGGAGCCGTGGCTGTGAGCATCGCAGGTACCCCGCTGGCCAGCTTCCGTGGCGATGTGTTGGGCTGAAGGGAAGGGCTGTGTGCGCAGAGCTCGAGCAGTTCAGCTGTCGTAGTCCGTGCCTCTCTGCTGGGAACAGAGAAATTATCTCGAAGCACATGAATATTCTAGTCCGGAATAAACCCTGTTTTCATCCCAAGATGTTTTCCCAGCTTTCGAGGTGGTCTGTTCACTCGGGAAGCGCGTGGTGTGTTTCCTGCTGGGGTCACGTTATTGACGTGGTGGTCTCCAGCCCACACCAAGCTCCTGTGTACCTGTCTCCTGATGGCAGCGCACGCAGCCGTCCGCGTTCCGGGTGGGAGCCGGGGCCGTGCTTTGGGGTGTACGTGGCAGCGCTGTGCTGTCCGCAGAGGTGCTGCAAGGCAGCTTGAAATGAGCGTTATCATGGTTCTGCAATTAGCTTTTGATGAGAAAATTGCCTTTGGACGTAACAGTTCAAGGTTTGTTCTGCTGGAATGAAGTCGCTCTGCTTTTGCTGGTGGCGTAAGGGCTGGGAACACAGGGAGTGGTTACTGGCACTGTGCGTGTCGGGCACGCGGCCTGGTTTGTCATCTTGCTTGATGAAAACCTTTAATTAAAGTTCCACGGAGAAAAGCAGGCAAAATCAGCGCTGTTAGCAGTCGCCAAGGCACGTTGGCGCTTGGACAGAGTGTTCTGAGTTTAAGCAGGAACAATTCCTCGCTCTGATTTTGCTGTTTGAGATTTTTGGTTCGAGCTCGGTGGTGATTTTCAGTCATGTACCGACCCAGACAGAACTGTCGTGCGCTAGCTGCGCCCCTGAACTGCTGCTGCTTGCCAGTTAAACAGAATCCCAGCATGTTTGGGGTTGGCAGGGCCCTCTGTGGGTCACCCACCCCAACCCCCTGCCCAAGCAGGGTCACCCAGAGCAGGCTGCACAGGACCGCATCCAGGCAGGGCTTGAATATCTCCAGAGAAGGAGACTCCACAGCCTCCCTGGGCAGCCTGTGCCAGGGCTCCGTCACCCTCAGAGTGAAG